AAATCCCCGAAGCAGCGCGCTCCAGGGCTGTTGTGGAGGAATACGTACCGGGGCGTCTGTGCTTCCATGAGTTATTGCAGCGGTGGCTCCAGGCACCAGCGCTCCAAGCGCGTGCTGGGGGCGGCAAGCCGCGGGGGGCGCCCTGCCGGTCCCTGCGAGGGCGGCAGTCAGGCTGCCTTCGGCGGCATGCCTGCGGGAGGTCCGCCGGTCCCGCAGATTCGGTGGCAATTCAGCGGCGGGTACGCCAAAGCCACGGGACCGGCGGACCTCCTGCAGGCATACCGCCAAATCCGCGGGACTGGGGACCTCCTGCAGGCGTGCCACCGAAGGCAGCCTGCCTGCCGTGCTTGGGGTGGCAAAAAAGCTAGAGCCGCCCCTGGCTATTGTGTACCCCATTGCAGGGCCCCATTGTGCTAGGGGCTGTACAAACCCAGAACAAAAAGAAAGTCCCTGCCCCAAGGAGCTTCCAACCTCAGCATAAGATAAGAGACAAGAGATGGATATAGACCGATGGGGGAGTATGAGGGAACAATGAGGCAATTCGGTCAGCATGACAGGCAGTGCTGTCTGTACACCAGCAGCCCGACCATCGTCCAGTTTTTTGTAGGCTTCACGGCAAAGGAGAGTTTTGAGACGGGATTTGAAGGAGGACAATGGAGGCAGCTTTGTGGATGTTTATGGGGAGCTCTTTCCAGGGGCGACAGATTCTTCCTAAAAGTGGGGGATCACAAGGCCCTGCCCCATCCATAGCCCTGCCCTGTCCCTCCTATTCCCCCTGAGGCCCCACCTCCTGGCCAAGCCGGAAGCTGGAGCAGAGCCAGGGAGCCACGGACCCTCCACCTGCCCGGGGGTGGGTGGGGGCCCGAGAGCAGCCCCCGACCCATGTCCCTGCCCGGCTCAGATGGAGGGTCCACAGCAGCCCGGGCTTCCCGGGCCGCTCTCACCCTGGTGGGGCTCCAGCTTCCAGCCTGGCCGGGAGGCAGGGCCTTGGGGGGAAGAAGACAGGGAGGGGGCCAGCCTGTGGCGAAAAGTAGATGGGCCAGGCCCATCCACTCTCAAAAGTGAATAAGTGATTATAAGAATGACGGAGATTGACTGGGAGGGGCCTTGGAAGTGAAGACAAGCAGCTTCCGTTGGATGTGATGAACAAAGGGGGGAGGGGATCCGGCGGAGGGATGCAAAGAGAGGGGTGATGAGGTCAAAGTGACGAGCTAGGAAAACGATCTTTGCAGCAGCCTTCTGACTGGCTGCGAGTAGGGCAAAGTTGCATGTGTCAAGACCAGAGAGAAAGAAGGTGCAGCAATCGAGACCTAGGGCCCTACCAAATTCACTGTCCATTTTGGTCAATTTCACGGTCCTAGGATTTTAAAAATCATAAATTTCATGATTTCAGCTATTTAAATCTGAAATTTCACAGTGTTGTAACTGTAGGGGTTCTGACTCCAAAAGGAGTTGTGGGGGGGTCGCAAGGTTATTGTAGGGGGGTTGCAGTTCTGCTACCCTTACTTCTGCGCTGCTGCTGGCGGCGGCGCTGCCTTCAGAGCTGGGCAGCTGGAGAGCACTGACTGCTGCCCTTACTTCTGCGCTGCTGCCTGCAGAGCTGGGCCCTCAGTCAGCAGCTGCCACTCTCTGGCCACCCAGCTCTAAAGGCAGCAGCACAGAAGGAAGGATGGCATGGGATGGGTATTGCCACCCTTACTTCTGTGCTGCTGCTGGCGGGGCACTGCCTTCAGAGCCAGGTGCCCGGCTAACAGCCGCCGCTCTCCAGCCGCCCAGCTCTGAAGGCAGTGCAGAAGTAAGGGTGGCCATACTGCCACCCCCCTAAAATAACCTTGTGACCCCCCTGTAACTCCTTTTTTGGGTCAGGACCCCCAATTTGAGAAACGCTGGTCTCCCCTGTGAAATCTGTATAGTATAGGGTAAAAGCACACAAAAGACCAGATTTCACGGTCCGTGACGCGTTTTTCATGGCCGTGAATTTGGTAGGGTCCTATGGAGACCCAAGACGATGACAGCTTGGACAAGAGTTTTGGCTGTGTAGATGGAGTCGAAAGGCCGTATTCTAGAGATGTGAGGCAGAAAGAATTGGCACGATTTAGATGTAGCCTGGATGTGAGGATCTAGAGAGAGGCCCAAGTGGAAGAAGATGCCCAGGTTACAGACCTGAGTAAGAAGTAGAACATTGGTGGTGTGGCGTCCCCAGTGATTGAGAGAAAGGAGGTGTTGCCGAGGGCTTGGGGGAGATTAGTCAGATCCACTTCCCCCATGGACCCTGCAGGCCACCGTTTTAGGTTCTGCAGGTGACCTTTGACCTAGAGCAAGGATCGACAACCTTTGGCACGCGGCCAGTGGGAGCCACGATTGGCCGAACCTGCGGATGCAGCTTGCCAAAGGTTGCCAGTGCCTGACCTAGAGCATCCCAGGTAAAGAGGAAAGCCTCCGCTCTGAGGTTCCCCCATGGAAAAACTAAAGCCTTGGAGGGCAGGGGGGCAGGTAACTTAACACTTACTGTGTTCTAGTTGTGTTGAGAATTGCAGCTGGTTTCCCATCCAACAGTTGAAAGCAGAGCAGGTCACGGCCACCAGACCCCCTTCCTTTCATGTGCGGTGTTTTGCCGATCTACTCTCCGATGGAAATGGTTCAACAACTGAGTAAGAAAGCCAGTTTGATCCACATTTTGGCCTTTTTCAAGCAAGAGAGCATTATCAGCGTCCCCGGAGCCTGAAAGCCAGACCTCGGAGTGGAGTGCTGCACGGCGGGTATAGACAGAGGTAGTGACCCAGGTCTAGGGTGACCATATTACCCAACGGGAAAATGGGACATTGCGTGGGGTTAGCCCAAGTCCCCCCATCTCCTGCAAACGGGGCTGGCCCGAGCTGCTCTCCCGAGCCCAGCCCCCCACACACACACGCGGGGCTGTTGTTCGCCCCAGCCCTGCCTACCCCCGCCCAGGTCTGCCACCCTCCCACCCCCGAGCAAGGCTGGCATCACCGCTAACCCCCACCCCCACATGTTCCTCTGCACTCTACGTTTTTGAGAAAAGTGGGCATTTGTCCCGTTTGCTCTTGCCAGCTGATCAAAGTTGTGACGGCCGGGACAAGGCTTAAAAAAGGGACTGTCCTGGCCAAAACGAGCTATATGGCATGGGCGGCGGGTATCATAGGCTAGGGGAGGCTGAGCCTCTCCAAGCAGCCAGGTGTGGCCCCGCCCACACTCCGCCCCCATTCGCTCTCCTGCTTCCTGCTCTGTGGGCGGCTCTTCCGCTGTGCCATGGCCCCAGATGGGGCTGGGGCTGTGCTGCCATCTCCCAGGGCTGGGGGAGGGGCTGGGGCCTCACTGCCCGGCCTCCCAGGGCTGGAGGGATTGGGGAGGCTGGGGCCACGCTGCCCGGCCTCCCGGCACTCCAGGGCTGGAAGAGCTGGGGTGGTGCTCGGCACTCTAGGGTTGGGGCGGCTGGGGGCACTCTGGGGCTGGGGGCGCTAGCCTGGGGCGAGGGCCAGCAGCTGCAGTGATCTCCAGTGGGAGGGGGGGATAGAAGGTGCGGGGCCTCGGGCGGAAGGAGCAGAGCTGGGGGCTTGAGCCAGCGGTTCACCCGCCACCCATGCTGTATGGTCACCCTACCCAGGTCTGTAATAGCAGGGGGTGCTGTAAGTCAGGGCTGAGACACATCGGCAGAGTTGTGTGGGTGCTCTACACCGGAATAGCAGGGGAGTTGCAGGTCAGGATTGAGATGCATTGGCACAGCAGGGCTGGAAAGGCAGCGAATGCTGTAAATCAGGATTTGACTAGGTTTTGCTTCCCACTGCTCGTGACCCAGCTTAACTCGGTGTCGTGAGCCCCTTATTTTCTCTGAGCAGCAGATTGACTCGCACGTCCATTAAACACCACTGGATCATTGTTTGCTCTGCTTTCATTTCCTTTGGGACACATTTTTCTAATAATAGTTACATATTTAAAAATCCCACATGTCTAATTGGCTAAACAAGGAAGCCAATCTGAAACTGACTTGCAGAGGCTTTGCTTTCATACATACGTACCCAGGAGGCCAGAAAAGCTTCCTAGAAGCCTTTATAAAAATCAGTTGTGGAACCATATGCCCAGGGAATTTACATAGCATAGCATTTACTCAGCATCTATTGAGCAAGTCTGTGTTTAGGCACTTCAGTATTTGGAGACGCACTACCAGACGCCATGTGGTGTCATCAGAACATAAAAACTGCTCCACTGCAGCACACGAATGGTCCCCTATGCAGTCAGTGGCAGTCCCAGGTCATTCAAAGAAAGCTGTAAACTTGCCTTGTAATACACTGGTGGTAATTGCATAGAGCTGTGCATCAAGGCGGCAATTTCTTCCTGACCCCAGCTGGTGATCAACATATGCCCTGAAGCATGAGGTTTGATAGCTCTTTTATCCCAGCTAGTGCAGCTCAGGCTGCTGATCTTATCCATGTAAATGTCTAATTCCCCCCAGTGTTTGTTTGTTTTTAAAACTTACTAAGCTATTTCCCTCAGTAATACTCTGTGGCATCAGTCCGTAGGATGGCACATTATGGTCCTTGGAGTTGATAAAAGGAGAACTCTGATGGAATAAAATTTCCGGTATCCTTAATCTAGACCGGGAGGCTTTTGCTGGGGCTGCGTGTCATTCACTCTATGCTCAGCTAGAAAGAGCAGCATGCATTGGGAACAGATGCAGTGTTAATAAATATCAAGGCACACCCAATCGAGGGTAAGGCAATAAGCAGCAAAACCTAGGGATGGCTGTCTGGAAAGCAGCAAGTTCGAGAAAGACCCCGGCCTCTTCCACCAGCCCCTAAGATACTGAGCATTACTCTGGGGAAACGGACTCGCTATAAGAATAGGCATCATGGAGACCCATAATGCAAATGCTGTTCTGCAGACTCCGGCTTTTGCACGGAGACAGGTTCCTAAAACACAAATCTCAGGAGCCAGAGCTACCTTACTTTGCTGGGGTTCAACCTATCTTCCTTTCACGTCAGGTATGACTGTGTTGGAGAGTTCTCCGTACGAGCCATTCGTCAGGGGCTTTGACTACGTCCGGCTGGCATCCATCACCGCAGGTAGGTGGGCTGGAGCGCATTCTCCTACTTGTTGGCCCAAAGCAGGGTGCTCGTTGGGAGGGGGCCCCGCAATCCAGATCTGGGAGGGACGGACTGACTAGGCCTCTCCCTGCCCTGCCGCAGTCTGTCGCGCTGCACGGCCCCTTCTCGCATTGTCTGTGCCGAGAATTTCCGTGCTAAGCTGTTGAGACAAGAGCACGTTTTCAGGGGAGGCACTTTATATGATTGGACCGGGGCCATAAAGAGCAAGGGACCGGGGCAGAGATAGGCAAGGGCTGGATAGGCAGCCTCTGAGGCTCCCCCAGCTGAGGTAGAAAACACCATGACTCTGGGAGAAGAGCTCTGGCCAAAAGAACCCTGCTCTCTCGGCGCCCATCCCCTTCAGGGCAGAGACGGCGGGCCGGATTTTTAAAAGAGATCAGCACCCATTGGCCCTATTCAGGGGCCTCAATGGAAGAAGACCTCTTTGGTAAATCTGGCCCCATGCCTGCCTGATGGGGCAATGGGATCCAGATACAGATCAGGGCAGAGGCACCAGAATCGGGGGGGGAAGGCTGGCCCCATCACTTTTAAAAGTGGGGGATATGCCCTCCCACTTTTTACTGGCTATCAGGGTGAGCGATGGGGGGAGGGACGGAGGCAAGCGGGGCCCCAGGTGAAGGGGGGGCTGTGATGGGTTTCCCCTTACCCGGGGTGCCACTTGGAACTGGGGTACCTCTGAGCCTGCCTGACCCACCAGTCTGGGCTCCCTTTACACCGCATGGCTGTGCAGCCTGCCAAGCCCTCTCCCCGGCTTCAGACTGCACTTTACCAGCACACATACAGGTACGGACGTACCCAGCTGTAGCTACACACAGATGCTGATATAGCTCTGCATGGCAAGGCTCAGCTAAGGAACTGCCCAGTTACCCAAGAGCACCCCCCCTCTTGAGGGCAAACCCCAAAATTGTACCATCTTGCGCTGCACAGAGATTGGTACAGCGTAAGCTCATGAAATTCGCCCCCTCCCTCAATGTGGAGGAAGACATGTAACAGCTTTGTGCCCCCACAGTTATGAATTCCACACACTGGTTTTAGACAAAACAAAACAAGTTTATTAACTACAAAAGATGGATTTTAGGTGATTATAAGGGATAGCAAACAGTTCAAAGCAGATTACCTAGCAAATAAACAAAATGCAATCTAAGCTTAATATACTAACGAAATTGGTTATAAGTAGCAAATTCTCACCCTAAATGCTGTTTTATGCAGATTGCAGAGATTCTTGAGGGCAAGCTACACTTGCTTGCAGATTAAAACTCCAGTTATTCCTTTCACAGGCTAGAAAACTCTTTAGCCTGGGTTCAGCCCTTCTCCCCCAGTTCAGTCTTTTGTTTCTTAGGTGTTTCCAGCAGTCTTCTTTCTTGGGTAGGAAGTCAGTGAAGAATGAACCACAATGATGTCACTCCCCTGCCTTAAATAGCTTTGGCTTATGGTGGGAACCCTTTGTCTCCCCGTTTGATTCCCACGCCCGGTCAGTGGAAAACTACTAATATTATGATGGAGTCCAATACCAGGTGACTTGGTCACATGTCTCTGTAGAGCCATAGCAGCCACAACTCGGAGGCTGTTGGTAACATCCTCAGGAAGGCCTCCTAGTGGGAGATTAGCATCTTCAAAGACCTATTGGGTTCCCTAATGGCCCTTCCCAGCCAGCCATCTAGACTGATTGCATTCTGTCTAGTGGGCGTTCCCCAGGTGTAAACGTAAATACATTTGTAATAGATGCATAGACAATATTCCTAACTTCAGATACAAAAATGAGACATGCCTACAAATAGGATAATCACATTCAGTAAATCATAAACTTTTCAATGATATGTCACATGACCTATCTTATACAAAATACATCATAATTATGCCATACTCCTATCGTAATAATATTACTATGAAGAATATGGGGCGTAATGCCACAGGGACACGGGAGCAGGGCCTCGGGGGAAGGGGCAGGACCTCGGGGGAAGAGGAGGCACAGAGACGGGACCACAGTTTGGCCGCTGGTGGCCCCCCCACACACTTTTAGGGAGCTTCTGTTGCCCCTGATTCAGGGCTGTGAGGCATTTACGGTAGCAGGAACAGCTAATATTGTCGATGGTACTAACTGAGACACTGATGCCGCAAACATTAACGCATGTGCTTAATTTGCACAGGCAAATACCCTCATTGACTCCACTTCGGTTACTCACGTGTGAGAAGTGAAGCACACGTGGAAGCAGTTGCAGGACAGGATCCTTATTCAGTAGTTTGCCAGTTCCATGATGAGTCCTATGGTGCTCTCTCCCGTACGTGTAGACTCTCTGTACACTGGGATTTTTATGCATGGTCAATGCCTTGCCATTTTTTGAAAATGGGATGAAACTGGTTAGGTAGCAAAGAAAAACAGACCCAGAACAGTAGGGCTGTGGAGCAGTAATGAAGGATTCAGAACCCAAATCTGTATCAGAGAGGTATTGAAAAACCTGTCTCGGTTTTTTACATTTTTACTTGTATTACTCCATGGTGATACCATTAGTCATAGCGTAGATCTGCCTCTCACTATGTGCCTGTGCAGCACCTAGCACAGCAGGGCACTGGTCTACTCTGGGACCTCAGCACTCCTGCCAACCTACTACTAAAATGCAAAGGAACAGGCTGAAGCATATATCATTACAATACCTCAGGGCAGAGTCATATCACCAGATATTTTTAACCAGATTTTACATAAATAATGTATTATGGCCACTAAAAAACATACAAATGGAATTACATCTATCTACTCTAGTAATAGTAGTGATTTTAAAAGCGTGTCCTACATTGTTCTGTGGGTGGAGGAGAAAGCTAGCATATTCCAAATGAGATTTAGGGCTTGTCTACATTACCCGCTGGATCGACGGGCAGCAATCGATCCAGCGGGGGTTGATTTAGCGAGTCTAGTCTAGATGCGATAAATCGACCGCCGAGCGCTCTCCCGTCAACTCCGGTACTCCATCAGGCGAGAGGTGCAGGCGGAGTCGACAGGAGAGCATCAGCCGTTGACTTACCGCAGTGAAAACACCGCGGTAAGTAGATCTAAGTACGTTGACTTCAGCTACGTAATTCACGGAGCTGAAGTTGCGTAACTTAGATCGATTTCCCCTCCCGCCCGCCAGAGTAGACCAGGCCATAGACTTCAAGAATAATAAAGCCATTTCTACTAGCTGTTTGCTATACCCCAAACTGTGGGTAGTGTAAAATGGCATAACAAGACTCATGTCTGTGTATTATTAAACAGGTCTACACCATAGTATATCTACAGCAAAAGGTGCATCCACCAAAACAAAAAAAAACCCCTTCAACATCATTATAACTCAAAGTTAAACTTTTTATTCAAGTTAAACATTGTAGGCCAAAACAATTCAGCTAACATCAGGGATATTCCATAGCTTCAAGAGAAGGCAAAATATCACAGTCGATTGTTCTCTGAGGTCATCTTGAAATTCACAGCAAGATTGAAACTGACCTCTTCGATATTTTTCAGATGTGGAGTGGCTGGTTTCAATGACTCACCAAAGATATTTTTTGTCTTGATATTGCATTCTAAATTTAGCAAGAGACTTGGCTTCTTCCTCCATAAAATCTTCTCTAATTGGCATAAAGTCCCTCCTGCTTCGAGTCTCAAGTTGACGGAGATGAAAAAGTTTGTCTTCAAATTCTTTTTCTTTGCAGCCAGAAGGAATCTCACTTTATCTCTTTTATCGCATAAGGAGATTTGTGAAGTCTCAGATGAATCACCTGACCACTCCTAGCAGGGATTCTCCTGTGTAAGAGGGATCATCTTGCATGCTTCAATCAAGTAGTTTAACGTCAAAATCAGAAAGATATGGATATTTTTCTCCCTCACCGATCCCTAATATTTGCATATAATGTGATTTTTTTTATCTGGTTTCCAAGGTCTCTCCTTTCCTTTCTAAGACAGTGTTACTCCCAAGTAACCACCGTATTGGTATTTTGAAGCATTCTCCTTCATGGCTTTGTGCATCTGTTGACCTTCCTCACTGGAGTAACAGCATTGCTTTGTGCACTCTTCTATCCAGATTGCTAGTCACTGAGACATTCCTATGCTTGAGATTCTGCTCTTTGCTTGCACTGGTGTACATCACGGGTGGTTTTGCTGAGGCCAATGGAGTTACACCCTTTAGAAGTGAGTGGAAATAGGCCCATTGACTCTGCATTTCCTGGTAGAGACAACGCCAAGGTTTGAAAGGCATCAGATTTGCTCTGACTTTTCTTCCAATGATTGATCTCAGGCTGGGAAATATTATTATTATTTGTAATTTGTATTATCGTAGTACCTAGGTGCCCCAGTCAGTTACCTGCTCTTTGCAAAGAAGGCCCCATCAGTCCACCAAATCCTCTGTAGGCCATTGCCTGAGAACATCCTCCAGTGGCTTGCTCTTGAACGTTGGCTTCTTCAGTCATTCACCTTTCTCCTCGCTGTAGCTCCTGGACAATTACAATCGTGTAGCCTTCACAGCCCTCCAGTTGTTTCCGTGATGGTAGTTTGGTCACGCCGGTGAAAGTCCTCAGAAGCAGCCTTGAAGCACAGTCTCCATGTTGGAAACTAGGCTCGCCCGCACACACACCATCAGAGAGCCTTGTGCTGCTACTGCTCCGCAAACATCAGTAAGGCCTCAGAACAGTGCAGTTCCCAATGGAGATGACTCCAATCACCACCAGGTTTGGCTCCGATCGGCTAGGATGTATGGCTACAGCACCTGAAATCAGGGTGGCCTCAGGTGGTGACCCCGCCCAGAGCCAGCAACTTTCCCGGACCTGGGTCACTGCGGTTTGCATGGCCTTGGCTCCCATCCTCTGCCACCTCTAGCAAACTCTCCCCTTTCCCCCAGACCCCATGTCCATCCCCAGCCTTGACCTTGGATGTCGTCTGAGGAGGCGGGGGAGTGGTCTTTCCCGTCTCCACTCATATTTGATACAGGGTGGCCCCTTCCCCAGCTTCCGGGGTGGGAGCACGTCATGAAGGCTGAGCCTCCTCCACTCTCAAATGCTGGAGTCCGCAGTGCCCCAGAAGCCTTCCCTAGCAACCGCGCAGCAGGGATTATGGGATGTCCAATAGAGCACATGGTTGCCATGGAATCCCAGTAGACAGCCGACGCTCTAAAGGAGCTGTGGAGTCAGAACTGCCAGGCGGCTCATCCCACCAGGCCAGGGTCACGGCACTTTCCGTGGGGGAAGTTTGCTGCCGGTGCTGTACTTGTCCAGTTGAATAGATGTACCTATGCCTGATGTAACGATCAGATTGTACAGTGTAACGACAACCAGGTGTGGAGAGATGGTGTAGGGTAGTGGTTAGAGCAGGAGGCTGGCTGGGTGTCAGGATTCCTGGGGTCTGCTCGCAGCTGTGTGTGACCTGGGGCATTTCACCTCTGTACCTCTAAAAGTGGGAATTAATGGGCCCATCCAATCCAGTATCCTGGCCAGTACCTGAAGCTAAAGCTGGCAGAAAAATAATCCAGACAGGCAGAAAGAATTCCTTCCTGGCCCCTGGGGTGGTGATTTGACACTGTAGCCTGGGGTTAGATGAACTTAGCTGAGGTTGTTTATCTACGGATGTTATCGCTGCTCATGAAATTCTCCAGCCTCGCTTTAAATCCAGCTCCACTCTTTGACTCTCTGACCTTTGGAAGCTGCAAATCCCAGTCTGGCTCTGTGCTGCCCGGAAAAATCTCTCTCTGCATTGACCTGCCCCAGACCTCACCGAGCAGCCCTCTTGTTCTTGGACAAGGGGGGCAGGAAAAGACCAGATTCTTTCTGTAACTGATCTGCACTCAAATTCCCGCAAACTCTCCAACTTTCAAGGCTATACTCTGCTGGCTTCTTTCTTCCCACCCTGCCATACATCTCAACCTCCCGCTCCTCGTTCTGCCAGCCCCTTTCGCTCGCTCGTCCCTGTTCTCCCACAAACCAACATCTTCCATGCTGCCCCGCAAGCGTGGGACCCAACTCACATAGCCACTACCCTGTCCTCCATCAGAACCTTTCTCAAAGTCATCCCAACTGTGGCACTATCCTCCGGCTAATGGCCGGGCAGGTGGCCTATTACCAATCCACTCGGCTCTCTTGTCTTCTTCTCTTATGAAAGACTCTGATGCCTCTAATCGCGCACTTTGCTGTGAACCTATGTGACCTTGCGGACCTGTCTCTGTCAGGCTCCCATCTCTCCCACCCCTCTTGTGTTCTGCATCCCCTGTTGGGTTTTGACCCTGTTTAGATTGTGAGGGCCATGGGCAGGGACTGTCTTTCATGTTGCGTGTGTCACAGCCGGAGGGAGAGGAAGGATGGCTGAGCAGTTAGGATGCTAGCTTGGGACTCAGGAGATGTGGGCACAGATCTCTGCTCTGCCACAGACTCCCTGGGTGACCCTGGGCAAGTCACTAAGTCTTTCTGTGCCTCAGTTTTCCATCTGTACAATGGGAATAATAATCCTGCCCTGCCTCACAGGGGTGTGGTGAGGAGTCATACATTTAACAGTGGGAAGGTGCTCAGATATGAGGGTGTCTAAGTACCTTGTACCCAGTACAGTGAGGCTGTAATTCTGAATGGGTCCTTTCAGTGCTACTGTGCCACAAACACGGGCCTTGCTCGTCTCCGCAAACTCCAGCCCCATGCGTTACTCCCAGGGAGGGCACGATAGTCTGAAATGGCGTTAGCGCAGAGTCACGGAGAACTGGGGCTTTCGTTAAGCCCGTTACAGAAATAGTGGGCAGTCCTGGGGGGGAATCCTGGCCTCACTGGAGTCCATGGCAAAAGATTTCATCCAGCTTGAGCTGCCCTTTGGGAAAATGGCACCGATCACGCCCCCATTGTGCCTCACAATGCACTGTAACAGACCTGCCTCTCACCGCCCTGGCCTGTCCTAGGAGACCCACCCAACCCCAGGGGCTCAGCCCACACTTCAGAAATACTGGCTTACCCAGATGGAGTGTTTGCACTTGTCTCTAGTGGCAGTAGGTTCTGGATGAGGAATTGCCAGCTTGAATCAGCCCTAAGGTCCATCTAATCCAGTATCCCATCTCCACAGTGGCCAAATGCTTCCGAGGAAGGGGCAGGAAACACCACTCTTTGTAAAGGACTCCTCTGCATCCTGCTGCGTGCTGTTCCTCAGATACCCATGACTGGCATCATCCAATGCCCACTGACATTCACGGGCATCTTCAGTGCTCTCTGGCTCAGGCCCCCACCGTGCCCTAGTCTCTCTCACCGCACTGCTGGCAGGGGCAGAGTTCATGAAAGCATTTGTAAAGCAGTTGGATGTGCTCCCTTGAAAGGCGCCACAGAGTGTAAAATGTTGCGATAAATAATCTTAAGGAGGTCACTTTTTGACCAGTTTACAGTATTTGCAGACTGCCTTCATTTGTCCTTTTGGGGAGAGTGGCGTGGCTTGGGGTGCAGTGTGGGCCAGGATGCCTGGGTTCCACTCCCACCTCTGCCAGCCACTGATTCGCTATGTGACTTGTTCCCGCTCCCTGTGCCTGGGTGTCCCCCTCTGCAATCTGGGGGTGGGGGGGCAGTTGTGCTTCTCCGTCTCGCAGGGGAGTTGTGAGGCTTACTTCATGCTTTGAGATCCTGGAACAGGGCAAAGCTTTAGACTTGTGGGGTTCTGGGGGAGCAAAGTGTTTCCCGAGTGGTCTGTGGTGCTACGCGCATGATTTTGCAGAAGCCTGGCGTGTGTGCATAGCCATGACATGTTACACCAGTAGGCAGAGCTGGCAATGCCAGGAAAGGTACTGTCAGCAGGGGCGGGGGAAGCTGGCTCTACCAGGTCCAGGATAGCCGGAGGGGTCAAGAATCTGGCACTGCCAGGTCAGGGATAATCAGCGGGGACTAGCTGGGGAGAGCTGGAACTCACATGTCAGGGATAGCCCGCTGGGGAGGTGAGCATGGGGGCTGGCACTGCCAAGTCTGGGATACCCAGCAGTCCATCCCCCACAGGGCCGGCTTCAGGCACCCGCAAAACAAGCAGGTGCTTGGGGCGGCACATTTCTAGGGGCGGCATTCTGGCGCCGGTCATCATAGGCGCCGACTCCGGGGCATGGGGAAAAAGTGCCCCCGCTGCCCCAGCTCGCCTTCACTCCGCCTCCGCCTGCTCCCCTGAGCGCGCCGCCGCCGCTCCACTTCTCCCCCCTCCCTCCCAGGCTTGCCGCGCGGGAAACAGCTGTTTTACGCAGCAAGGCTGGGAAGGAGGGAGGGAGGAGAAGCCAAGCGGCGGGCGCTCGGGGGGGGCAGCGGTGGTGGAGCGGAGGTGAGCTGGAGCGGGGAGCGGTTCCTCTACCCCCCGTTACTTCCTGCGTCCCCCACCCTAGCTCACCTCCGCTCTGCCTGCTCCCCTGAACGCGCCGCTACTCCGCTTCTCTCCCCTCCCTCGTCGGAGAGGGAGGGGAGAGAAGCGGAGCGGCGGCGCGCCCGGGGGAGCAGGTGGAGTGGAGGTGAGCTAGGGCGGGAGGTCACGGGGGGGGGGGCGCCGGAAGCCATGGGGGGGGGAATGCGGCACTCCCCGGGGAGGAGGCGGGGCTGGGGATTTGGGGAAGGGGTTCGGAAGAGGTGGAGTTGGGGCAGGGCCGGGAGCAGGGGGGCACTTAAAAAAAGGGGGGGCAGCCAAAAATGTTTTTGCTTGGGGCGGCAAAAATCCTAGAGCCAGCCCTGATCCCCCACCTGCTGCCGATTGGTGCTTTCTCGCCCGTCTCCTCTCTGCCACTAGCCCTGCCTCCCTAGCCGGAGCCGCTCCTTCCCCCTCCGGAGGTGACATGCTGCTTCCACATGGGAGTGAGGGGGACAGGCGGAGTGGGGAACGAGGGCTCTCAGCACAGCTGGGGAGGTGATATTTGCTTCAATCCAGAGTCTTAACCTGGCCCGTACCTGGCATGTGACCAGAAACTCCCCCTCCTTCCTGGAACAGCGTGTGCTCCGTGAGCTAGTTTCCTAACGGCCTCGTCAGGACTAAATAATTAACCCCAGGGTGAATCCCATCTCTTCTTGCTCTCCGGGCTCTGGGCTAGCTGGGGGGCAGCCCTGCTGTCCTCTGCGAGCTCGAGGCCCCTCGGGTGCTGGTGTTGCTATGGCCGTTGCTAACCTTTGTTGGGGTCTCTGGGTCATGCAGGTTCTGAGAACGAGGTGACGCAGGTGAACCGCTGTCTGGACGCCGCCAAGGCCTGCAACGTGGACGAGATGTGCCAGAGGCTGAGGACGGAGTACGTCTCCTTCTGCATCCGGCGCCTGGCCCGGGCCGACGCCTGCAACCGCTCCAAGTGCCACAAGGCCCTGCGCAAGTTCTTTGACCGCGTGCCCCCCGAGTACACGCACGAGCTTCTCTTCTGCCCCTGTGACGACACGGCCTGCGCCGAGCGCCGCCGACAGACCATTGTCCCCGCCTGCTCCTACGAGTCCAAGGAGAAGCCCAACTGCCTGACCCCCCTGGATTCCTGCCGGGAGAACTACGTCTGCAGGTAACACTCACGCAGCACAGTGGGGCCCAGTCAGCCCCACCCCATGGAGGCCTGGTCCAACCCACTGAAGCCTGAGGGGAGTCCTTCCAGTGACTCCATTGTGGGCCTTGAAGCAGGCCCTAAAGTGAGACCCTCTGCTCCAGGGGCTAAAGCAAAGGGTTGGCTAGGAGGAACCCAGGGTCAAATGTAGGGTGAGCTGCTCATGGTGCGTTCTTGAGGCAAATCCCTTGGATTGTCCCCCTTTTTGCCTCAGGTATTGTAGCTGGAAACCTGGGAGGTAAAACAAATGTCAGGCTGTATTAATTGCACCTGCTGTCCCAAGGATCCCAAAGCAATTTACAAGCGCTCCCTGCTAAGCCTCTCAGCAGACAATGGAGCTTTGTTACCACTAAGGGGTAAACTGAGGAACAAAGAAATCAAGCACTTGCCCAAGGTTATGCAGTGAATCAAGGAGCAGTGCCCAGCCCTGCTGACTGCTAGGCGCATGTCTACCCACTAGGCATCACTGCCTCTCTGTGTAAGGAAACAGGAAGTAAGAGCCTCACTGGGAACCAGATGCTTAGCAGGAGGGATAATGGGGGAGGGGTGCACACAGTAACCATCACTAGCAAATGGGGTGGGAGCCCTCAGGAAATGTGGCAGACTGCAAGGCCATTCAGCGGCTTGCATATATCTCCAGCCCCGCCTTTAACCCTAGCAGCCTCGGCAAGGGAGATGGCACGTGGTCACAGACAATGGCTCTTGACTGAGACGTCCTTGGCAGGATCGGACTGTGTCTCAAGGCGTCTGTTTATGGACCTGCTAAGAGAAGTCAGAGCCGGAACTCACATGTTGTCCTGGCTGGCAGGGCCGGCTTTAAGCCGATTCCCCGGAATGGGGCCCCGCGCCTAAGAGGGCCCCGCAACGTCCGGGGCTGCCGGCAGAGCGGGAAAAAAAAAAAAAAAGCCGCGTCCTGCTTCTCCCCCCTCCCTCCAGCGCTTGCGCCGCCATACAGCTGATCAGCGCAAGCCTGGGAGGGAGGGGTGAGGAGGAGGAATGCGGCGTGCTTGGGGAAGAGGCGGAGCCAGGGTGGGAATTTGGGAAGGGATCCAATGGGGCAGTGAGGGGGCGGGGCCAGGGCAGGGATTTTGGGAGGGATCCAATGGGGCAGAGAGGGGGCGGAGTCAGGGCAGGGCTGGGGCGGAGTTGGGGTGGGGGGAGAGAGACAATTCGTGTCCCGGCGTGGGGCCCCGCACCTCCTAAAGCCAGCCCGGCTTGCTGGTGCTGATATGAAGAATGGGAAATAACTGGCTGAGGCTGGGCAGGGTGCGTTTGTGTGTGTGAGAGAAGGAGAGAGAAACTACTGAGTTTTCCTGGGCCAAAAATAATTTGTGGGGGCGTGGTTTTGGTCCCTTTGTCATTTCTCTGCAGAAACCTCTATTAAAAGCCACAAAACTTCAGAAAAGTTTAGCTGGAGAGGCTGCGCTACACGGCGTGTGCCAGCTTCCCACAGCTGCCTTCTTTAAAGGAGCTTTATCACTGCTCCAAGATGCCTTCCCCAGCTCTTTGGTGGAGTTGCTGCTTTGTATGTGTCTACACTGCAGTCCTGGGGTGCGATCGAACCTTGAGCAGACATCCCTGAGCTAGCTTGAATCTAGTTAGCTAGTGATGCTACAGCAGCATGGGTTTCAGCGTGGATTAGCTGCCCAAGTAATTACCCGGGGTTCTGCACAGGCTTGAACAGAGAATCATCGAATATCAGGGTTGGAAGGGACCTCAGGAGGTCATCTAGTCCAACCACCTGCTCAAAGCAGGACCAATCCCCAACTAAATCATCCCAGCCAGGGCTTCGTCAAGCCGGGCCTTAAAAACCTCTAAGGAAGGAGATTCCACCGGTGTTGAAGTCCATGCTGGTGTTGTTCTACTGTCCTGGGACCTGGGCTAGCTGGGTTAAGCTAGCTCAGATATGTCTTCATGAGCTGCACCCCAAGCTTTTTCAGAGCGGGGACCAACTTCCATCCCCTAATTCAGCGTTGCCAACTCCTGCGATTTTATTGCTAGTGTTGGTGTTTTATTGCTACTTGGTGATGTTTTTTGGACAGCCCCATCTGCTGGAATCCAGAGCTTGCATGAGAATCTCAGCATTCGTTAATAAAAGTAGGTCTCTAGCCTTCATGACTGCAAAGAAAAGCTTGAAAATACGACCCACGTGTACGCTGAAGGCCCAGAAATTAGAAGGCAAATCAAATGAACACAAAACGTTATTATCTGCACTGGAAGGGGATTTTAGTGGAGGTAGTTGTGTACTTAATGGGGAACACATTTAGTAACAAGACATCAGCCTACCATCCATGTAATCATGTGGCCTGATTTCTGTAACCCTCTGTCCCCCACGCCCCGGTTCATCTAGCCTCCCGGTTCGCATCTCGCCCTTGTGGCAAAGTTTCTGCCATTAGAGAATGAATGAACTCTCCGGGGCAGGAACTGTACCATCCCATATGGCTGAAAACACCCGGTCCATTTTTGGGCACTGCTGCACTATACATAATTAATGATAGCAATCAGATGGATACGTTCCAATTTAACCAAAGAGCCATCAGTGTTAAAATTCTCCCTTTAGAGAACGCTGGTACTTTCTGTGTGATATAACGCCAGCCACTTCCTGAGAGGCAGTGCCCCCTAGTAGTTGGAGGAGGACACTGGGCGTTGGCCCTCCTGGGTTCTATTCCCAGTTCTGCCAGTGACGTCTTGGACAAATCATTTAAAACGGGGATGATAGTGTCTCTTTCTTGGCTGTGTGGGGAGGGTGAAATGATGTTTTCAAAAATGCTTTTAGATGAAGAACACTATATGCACGTACATAGGTGTGTTAGTTAAGTATTATTTTCATTATAGCTACTTTCATCCTTAAGGTTCTCAAAGAACTTTACAGATTTTAGAGAGAGAGAGAGAGGGAGAAAGAGAGAGAGACACTTCACCCACCCTGCTGCAGCTCTTTCTGGGGTAGAGCACATTAACCACCCTGCAGCAGTAATGCCAAGCACTTGGCTTTTAAAGAGGAGGAATGACAAATAATTTCTCCAATTGAAACTTCAGGGGGAGCAGAACATAATTCCCCACGTTGGAATTTGGCTCGGGCGAGCCCCCTTATTTTTGCCAGACGCACCATAGGAATTTTAATGACTGTGAGTGGCTAGACCCTGTGGCTTAAGTTTTATCTGAAAGATGGAAAGCCATGGGAGCCAGCAGCCATTAGTCCAGGTACTATAGGATTTCACACAGCTAGCCAGTGGATCTGAAATTTAGCAGTATTGCCCCCTGGGGAAACACAGATAAGCTACGCTGGTGGGGAAAGGGAGGGGCAGAGGGGAACGTGTTGATTTCCTGGAGGATGGGAACGATTACACATCCTTAAAGTAGCACAGCTGTTAATTAACTCGTTCCTTGGTCTCCAAACGAATAATAAATGTATCCTCTGGAGCCAATGTCCAAAGCAGCGAGGAAATGCGAGATCCGGTCAAAGTCTGGAGAAGGCACAGAAACCAAAACGAAAGCCATGAACAAAAGCACAGCTCTTTAAAGAAACATTTAGAGTAAAATAATACCGGGTTAACCCCGTTTTATACCCAGCTGTAACCCCTTGAATTCAAAGTGATCTGGGTACTCGGCAACCCTTGTGCACCCACATGCTAGCTTAGAGACTGACAAATTTATCTGGGCATAAGCTTTCGTGGGCTAGAACCCACTTCATCAGATGCATGGAGTGGAAAATACAGTAGACAGGTATAAATATTCAGCACATGAAAAGATGGGAGTTGCCTTACCGAGTGGGGGGGTCAGTGCTAACGAGGCCAATTCAATTAGGGTGGATATGGCCTATTCCCGACAGCTGACAAGAAGGGGTGAGCCCCATTAGCACTGACCCCCCCACTTGGTAAGGCAACTCCCATCTTTTCATGTGCTGTGTATTTATACCTGCTACTGTATTTTCCACTCCATGCATCTGATGAAGTGGGTTCTAGCCCACAAAAGAATCATAGAATATCAGGGTTGGAAGGGACCTCAGGAGGTCATCTAGTCCAACTCCCTGCTCAAAGCAGGACCAATCCCCAAATTAGCCCCCTCAAAGATTGAACTCACAACCCTGGGTTTAGCAGGCCAATGCTCAAACCACTAAGCTATCCCATCCCCACACTGATGCTCAAATAAATTCGTTAGTTAGTTTCTAAGATGCCACAAGGCCTCCTTGTTGGTTTTGCTGACAGACTAACACGGCTACCACTCTGAAACCAGTCACATGCTAGCTGTTTCTCAATATGAACACAGTAAAAAATACAAACAAAGAAAAACCAGGTGAGCATAATAAGGCAGGAAGAAACTGTATGGTGCAGAACTCTCTGTTTATATATAGTTTTCTTTCCTGCCTTCAAACCCCCTTAGCCATTGGAGTGCCTGGATCTCCTTCCACCACCCATCCACGCAGTCTAGTATTCTATTGTTATTTGTGCTGCAGTCTTGTCTGGCAGCCCCAGGCAGGGCTTGGGGGCCCCAAAGGGCTAGGTGCTGTACGTACAGATAACAAAGACAGACTTCATCCCAAAGAGCAGCCAATGTAAATGAGAGGGTACGATTTAAGTCATATTTTGCCTCTTGTAGAGGCCAGTTCTGGGCTGTGACACTGCGACGTTTAGATTGCACTTGATAAAATATTAGAAAACAGGCTCAGACTGTGGCCCATGAAGTATTAGCAAGGCAGGACAGCTTTGTGGTATTCAGCCAAGGAGGTAAGAGATCTGCATTCATTTCACAGCTCTGCCACAGACTTCTTGTGTGACCTTGGGCAAGCCGATGGGAGTTAGGCACCTAAATACCTTTGAGGATCTGGGCTTTAGTGTCCCTGGGCCTCAATTCCCCACCTGTATAATGGAACTAATAGCACTTCCATGCCTCACAGGGATGGTGTGAGAATAAGCATATTAAAGATTGTCAGGGACTCAGATACCATGGTGATGGGAAGCCAT